TTTTCGCTTACAGAGCTCCAGTGCAAAGCCCGCAGTGAACTCTGTTTCCTATATCGGGGTTCCTTGCTGTTAATACAGTAATTGTGCCATGGAAGGAAACAACCTTTTACGACCCAAATCCCATCTCAACAAAGCTATGTGACCTTGGGTGAATCACGTCGCCCCTCTGCATCTTGATTTTCCCATCTATAAAATGGAATCATTCTCCTAATAATTTCCACCATGGAGGACAGCTGTGAGGATAAGATCAGAGAAGGTAGAAGAGAGCCCAGCACATGGCAGGTGCTCAGACAACGTTCCTTCTTTCCTCTCCTCTGGCTTTGCATGGTCCCTAGGAGGGGTTCCCACAGCAAATACTGTCTTTGGAGAAACAGGTTACCATCCCAGCGGAGCAGAAGACAGAGGCACATTCAGCCCTGGGACATCACTTCCGCTCTGATTACAACACGGAGGTTTTACCTGCCTCCTGGAGATGTGGTTGGTAGGAAATTGTTACATTACCACAAACTGTTCCTGTTTCCAATCCAACCTTTACACAAAAGGGACTAAGCATTTCATGGTGGTGTTTATTTAGCTAACGTAGCTTTTGAAATCTTTTGTAACCGTTTACAGGAAAAAGAAAACCAAATGCAGTTTAGCAAGCTCGGGAATTCGGGGCCAAGAGTAAGCTTAGTATGAAATGATTTGATTAGGAGCCTGGAAAAGAGAATCTTTCCTTTCTAGAACTTGGCTGGGACTTGCTTGGTGGGAGGGTGGGCAGTGGGTTTGTGCATGTGTGTGCCCATGTTTCTTGGGGTGGAACCCAAGACCCCAAAGGAAGCCTGGACCCCCAGGAAGGCTACCTCTCTTTTCCTTGCCTGCAAGGTAGCCCGAGGAGCTTCTGGTCACCCGGAAAGAGACGGGGTGTACAGATGTGGGGACTGTCACTGCCCCTGACAGATGGGGCCCCCACCCTCCCTCCTGCAAGGAGGTCACAACCCATGGGCAGAGCCACACTGATGGGGGGAACCCCCCACACACACACACGCAGCTCAGCAGGGGACTCGAGAGGAAAAGCAGGTAGCGTCTGCCCACCCTGGTCCACACGGCAGGGTCCTGTCATCATTTGAGTATAAACCTCCCTGCCTTTCCGTGGATGTGTTCTTACATGCCACTGAGCAAGCTAGCCATCTCCCAATGAATATTTATTAGGCATCCATTCTGTGCCAGCACTGTGGTTCAGAGATGAAAAAACCACTGTCCAAAGAGAGGAAGGGTTTTGTGCACATCTTAGAGGGGGGATATGGCTCTGGGAGAAGGTGAGGGTCCAAGGAGCCAGCAGTCTACCTTCGTTCTCTGGGCCTCAGTTGCCCAATCTGTAAAAGGAGGTGGCTGGACCTGACCTCTAGGATAAGTTCTTGAAGTTGGGGCAGGGGGTGGAAACCTGCTGTTCTGCCCCTTCCTGAATGTATGCCTCTGGACTCAGTCTCCTTGTCTGTGAATTGGGATCATGCCAGCACCTAATTTCATGGTTGTTATATAAAGACTGAAGGGGATGGGGAGCTTCCTAAGGAGTTTCATGGGTTTCTGGCACACAGTAGGTGCTTAGGAAGTCGTTATTTTGTAGAACCTCGATGAGCGTACTTCCCTCCCAGCCCGGAGCCAAAGGGGAACAGGCTAACTTGCATCTAACATAAGCTGTTGCTGTCGTCCGTGGGGTCAGGGCTGGCCCTTGCCCTGGCCCCAGGCCCCAGCGTCACAGGCAGGGAGCCTGCTGCCAATTTGCTGTCTAAGCCCAGCCACTGACTCCCCGACAGCTCTCGGCGGGGGGGGGGGGGGGGGGGGGGGGGGGCGGGGGGGGGGCAGGGCAGCCTCCAGCTGCTGTCCCCCGGCCCCACCCCCTCCATCCCCACACGCAGCCATTGAAAGCTAACGGCCAAAGGCAGCCCTTGGGGATGGAGGGCTGTGTGGAGGGCTGCAAGGGGGCTGGGAACAGGCTGGACCAGCAGCCTGAGTGGTCCTTGGAGCCATTCCCTGGAGACACAAGAGAGGCAATGAGAAGCCCATAAACTTCTCCTTGGCTATTATTCAGGGAGAAAAATGGGAGTGGTTGGAAGGGGCCAGAGAGGTGCTACGTGATCATCGAAGCTCTCCTCCATGATAAAGCACTCTATTCCAGGTCTGGCCGAACTCCTTTTTGGCAGAAATGTCACTGCAGAATCCTTGCAATAACTTGTGACCCAGGTTCTCTCGTTGCTCCATTTCACAGATGAAGAGAGTGAGGCACAGAGAGGGATAGTGACTTGTCCGGGGTCACACAGCGGCAAAATGGCAGAGCAACTTATTCTGTTCCAGCCCTTGCATTCTTCACCAGTGGGACATGAGAGTGGAGTGGAGGTGGGGGTGACAATACCCTCTGGGTGAGACAGCCTCTAGTTCAACCACCACTTTACCCATAACTGTGTCATCATGTAAAGCCACTTTAACAGGTCAAGCCTTGGTTTCCTCATCTGCAAACCGGGCACAGGCAGGCTACACTCATGGGGATGGTTGTGGCGCAGGTAGTGAAGGCTTAAGAGACCACCAGCTGCAATTCTTTTTATTACTACCCTGCCTTCCAGGCATGCTCGCCGAGGAACACAAGAAAGTCCTGGATCCATGCAAACAGGAAAGGCAGGATGCCCAGGCAACTCTGGGTGGGGGGCTAAGGCTGGACTGCTCCTTGCTCTACTGGCCCCAGCCCTGCCAGCTGGTCAGGGAACTAGGTAGGTACTGAGAGTCCCCCCCCCCCCCCCCCATAAGCTTACTGCCTGCTCTCTGCTCTTTCTGGACACAAGCAGCTTGCCCAGTGCCCCCAGACAGTTTGTGAGCTGGGCTGGCCAAGACACAGGGAACTGAGACCCCAAGGGTTAGAGCAGGTGGGAGTCCCTGTTGGGCAGTACCTGGGAGAAGATGAGGGTCCAAGGAACTCCCTAGACCCCCTCTCTTGCAGAAAGCCAGCCTCGTTGATGGAACTAAGTCATAAGAACAAGAGCACCTGCTGGTTCTGTGTCTCTTGCCCTATAAAACGGACTCAGTCCTTCCAGCAGCCACAGGAGGGACATGCCCTCATTGTGCTCACTTGAAAGATGAGGAAACTCGACTTGTCCAAAGCTGGCTTTTGAACTTGCACACACATCCGACACCAGAGCAGCCCCTGTTCTCATCCCGATTCCCTAACTCTGGGGCTTTTACGGGGGGGCCTTAGGCAACAATAAGCCTCTATGGTACTAGGGAAGCACTGGCTTCCCTCACCTCCCAATGCTGGCTTCCAGCTGGGAGGACAGAAGGAGAGCCACCCCCAGACCTGGAGTGCCTCCTGCGGGCCAGACAATTTCATAGATACTGCACTTAAAATCAGTGAGAGGTAACTTTTATGAGCCCGGCTGTGCAGACAAATGAAGGTTCAGAAGGGAAATTGCCCAGGATCATGCAACTGGCAAGTGGCTGAGCTAAAAATTGTGTTTAATCTTTCTAATAACTCCATGCGGTGGGTACTATTTCTAGTCCCATTTTATGGATGAAGGAAACTCAGACTGTTCTATACAGCCAGAAGAGCTGGGATCATAATTGATTTCACAGCCCAAGCTCCTCCTCACCCTCAGGCTGCCCCTGGTCCACCTGCCATGATTTAAATCCGTTCAGGGCTGGAAAGAAGCCTAGAGGTCCGTGGTTGTGTGCTTTCCTGCTTTCCATTAAAGATTTTATTTCATTGTTCCAAGCCTCGGTTCTTCACTTGTACAGTGGAGGCTAATCAGAGCAGCTCCCAAGCTGGGCATACAGTAGGTGCTCAAAGAGTGCTGCATGCCTGGAGTCCATCTGGGGTCCCGGACCTGCACATGGTAAGCTCTCAGCAAATAGCTGTTTGCATTTGCGTCTTCATTTGGATCTCAGAAGGCAGCCTCCAGGCCCACAGCCCTGAGGAAGCAACCTCCCTCTAATTGGGGGCCTTGGTCCACCCCAGAGGGCACTGCTGGGGAGTTGCAGTGGCCCCCAGGAGGCCAGACAGCCCCTGGGTAAACAGGGCTGATCCGAGGTGACAGCCTGCTCTTCCCAGGCCAGGCCCTGTCCTGTCCCTACTCCATAATCTGGGCCATGCCCCCTCAACCCATGAACGTGCCTGCCATGATGGGTGGGGCACTGGGAACCAGTTCAAGCCTCCTGGGCTCAAGGGAGAGTGGCTGGGAGGAGACTCCAGATCATTCCTTTTTCTCCCTCTCTTTGCTATGTGACCTTGCACAAACCTTTTCTCCCTTCTTGGCCTCAGTCTCCCCAGCTATAAAAGCAGGGAACTGGACTGGTTGACCCCCTAGGGGCTGTTTGAGCTCAGAGGTTTGAAGACAAAAAGGCAAAGGCTCTGCGGAGCTTTCCCCCACCCAATTGTACCTTGCTTCATCCTGTCTCAAGAAATCATTTATTTTGGCCTCAGACTCCACCAAATTTATTCCTCAAATACATGAGACCCAGGAGAGACCTTAATTCAAGAGTATCATTTAACTGACAAGCAAATGAGGCCCAGAGAGGGCAAGGGACTTGCTCAAAATCATACAGCCAAGCTAAGAATTCAGGAGTTCCCACTCACAACTTTTCCAGCATCCAAAGAGGATGTAAGCCAGTTCCTCCCACCACCAAGAACCCCCCCGAAGCTTTTGGGGGGCATTTCCTGGAGCCCCTTTTGGGCCATTGTAGGGAAAGCAATCTATTGTCTTAACATTCACCAGGATGCCCTGTCTCTCACCCAGGAGGGGACCTCCCTTGGAGGAGACAAAAGGTTGGGCTTTGAGAGGTCCCATTTCCCCAGGCCACAAGCCCAGACACCCTCAGAGAGGCCAATTTTGAGACTGAGATCTTCTCCCTCTCTTGCAAAATCACAGAATTTAATGTAACAATAGTTCTTGGGCAGAAACCATAAACATTAGCACAGAAACACTTTACACAATTTGAAAATATAGCGACTTAGTTATTGCTGAAGCAACCCTCACCTGTACTCCTGCGGAGAGGGGTGGTGGTTTTGCCCTGAGTTTCGAATAATTCCTGACATCATGGATGAGATGTCACTTTCTATCATCTCCTCGGGGAAAAGACAAGAAGGGGAAAAAAAAAAACAAAAAACAAAAAACAAAAACTCCCATCAGTGACAATGTGGACAGGGTAGAAACCCGGTTTTCCCACAGTTCTGAAGGATGGAACTCAAACAACTAGCAGAACACTTCAAAAAGAAAAAAAAAAAAAAAAAGTGGTACTAGAGGATTTCTGGACATCACAGGTCACTTTCCCAGGGCAAGTCTACAGGGTTTCCAGAAGCAAAGGAAGAGAATGGAATGGAATTGCAGGTTCTTTCGAATTCGTGGGGGAAGGGGAGGAAGACTCTAGAATCCAAATGTCAAGTCTTGGAAAATGTGGACTTGCAAAATAGGAATCAGAAAAAACAGATTCCCTCCCAGCCTATTTTCAACCGCAGCTCTGTTACAATCACTTTGAAAATAAAAAAAATTTTCAAAAAAAGGACAGCTTAATGTGTCATGTATGTATCTCTGGGGGAACCAAATTCCCACTAGCAAAGGGAATAATCCCCGCTGGGCTCTCGCCCTTGAAATGCCTACAGAAATGCCACATACCCTGGCTGGAAAATCAGTCCAACCCCCACCCGCACCCTACCCCCCCGCCACACAGAAACACAGCCTAAAAAACAAAACAAAACAAAACTTCCCTGAGTTTCTCAAACTTCAATCCTGAAACCAACGCAGAAACCCACCAAAAGACTCTCAGTTCCGCCCCAAAAGTCACTCAGGGACTCCCGGGAAGGAAAAAAGGGGAGCAGAGAGAGGTAGTCCCCACGGCCCCTGCACCCGGGTCTCCACCCTGGAAATGCAATGCAGGGCACTGCCCCGGAGGAGGGAGCAAAGCCGACCCTGCAAGGTGGTACCTGGCGCGGATCCTCGCCGGGCCGCCGCTGCAGGCGCTCCTGGGGAGGGCGGGGGTTTTGGAGGGGGGCTCCCTCGCGCTCGCCCCTCGCGTTCCGCAATTTGGCCGCCGTAGCGGCTCGAACCGTTTTTAAATTTCCCTCTCTGGAGCTGTCCAGCTCAGAGCATGCGCAGTAGCCGTGCAGGGGGCTTTTTTTCCCCAAGGGTCAGTTACAGGGCAGGGTCAAGGGGATTGCAGCGGGTGTTTCCCAGCAGCCGCGAGCCTTGCACGCCCCGGGGCTCCGGGTGGGGGGGGAGGGGGGGGGGGGGGGCGGGGCGGTGCGCAGGGGTGGGGACACCCCTCTTCAAACTTTGCCAGCGGTGGCAGCAACTGCTTGCACGCGAGCAAGCTTTGAGGAGCAGTGGGAGGGTGATTTCGGCCAAAAGAATTAAGTTGCAAAAGGAGGCCGGGTGCATTAAAACTTGCACTCCGTCACCTCCCCAGAGGGAAAGGAGGTGGGTGGGCGGAGAGCTCTGCCGAGACCTCCCCTCTCCCCCTAAGCGGGGACCGGCCAGGAGGCCGAGTCCGGGCTCCAGGTAGACGCGGATTCCGGCCACCTGTCCCTTTAAGAAAGTTGCGCCCGCGGGTTGGCTGGCGGGGGCTGAGGGGCCGGGAGCGCTCGCGCCGGGCGCCTCCACCTGCCGGGGCCGCGGGGGAGGGGGGACGGGCACAGCGCGGGGGCCGGGGGTGGAGGGCGCCGGGTTCTGCGCGCCGCGCGCCCCCACCCCCCGCCCCGCGTGGAGAGTGAGTCGGCCCGGAGCGCGCGCGGCGGCTTCGGGGCCGCGAGCCGAGCCTGCCGAGCCGTTGGGGACTGCGGCCCGCCGGTGCGCCCGCGCTCCCGCCTTCCCCGCCGCCGGGCCCGCGCCGCCGGCAGCCCCGCCCCGCCCGGCGCCCGCCGCGGGAAAGGTGGCGCGGACCGCGGGCGGGACGCTCGCGGACAAAGGTCCCCGCAGCCCCCTGCTAGGGGCTGGAGTTAGCTCTATCCCCTAAGAAAGTCTACGTTTCCGGCGCCCGCGCTCTTCCAGCCTCCGCTGGGAGAATTTGCCCGAGTCACGACATTCATCATCGTCACGGTCACCCTTGATTGAGTTCCTTACAGGTTTCTGTCCCTTCGTTTATTCTGTACGCCAGCCCTTTGGGAGACAGGACGGTCCCCTTTGTGCCTATGGCGAACCCGAAGCTCTGAGCTGTCCCTGGTGGGCAGGGGCGGGCACGGCCAGGACCTGGCAGAACTAGGATTCGAACCCAGAGTGCCGAGACGCCATGGCTCCAGCCCTTGCACGTGGGCACAAGTCTGTGCCGCCCTGGCCGAGCCGGGCCCCAGGCCCGGCATCCAGTGCTTCTTGAATATATATCCCGCAGCGGGCCGCGTCTCCAGATCCGTGGTTGGGAAGGCTTTCCTAACTGGCGCTTGCGTCCGGGAAGGAGCCAGGTCTCCCTAGGCTGGATGAACCTGGATTTCATTTCTCATTCAGGTGGGCTGTGACCTTGGCGCTGGTCCACGTCCTCCTGAATGGTTTTCTTTTAGCACCTGGGCGCCCTTACTCCATTCTTCTCTGCCAGGAGTAAATAGATCAGCTTGCATTCTCTAGGGGGAAAGAGTGGAGTTTACAGATGTTAGTTAAGGTCACGGTCCTGAAACACTAAGTTTTCATTTCTCTCCGACCTATATAGATTCACGTTTTGCATTTTGCTTGCTTCTAAAGGTCGTTGACTTCGCTTTGAGTATCCCTTAGTGACCTATAATTCGTGACCAATAATTAATTTGAAGGTTAAGTTGTAAGAATTCAAAGTATTCAAGTTTCTTTCTGTTAATCCTTAATGGAGTTGTATGTAAATGGAGGTGACCTTACAACCTCCTTTTGAGATGACAGCCCTTTTCACTAAGGTAGAATTTTATATCTTTAGAGCAGTTTGGAAAGTCTTCTGCAAGTTGACAGATTTAGTAAAGCTTTTTAAGTAAAAGGCATTCAGTCTGAGAGTTCTATAAACTCATGCATTATGGAAAAGACAGGAAGGGACCCTTCATTAAAAGACCAAAAAAAAAAAAAAAAAAAAGATTCAGGGTCCTCTGGGCAGTCCTCAAAAACCTCCCTTTTCCTTGGAGAATTTGGCTGCTCTGCCTGAACTTTTGGCTGGGAGTGGTGGCTATTTTACTAAAGATTGACATTTTAAGTTCTTAGCTTCAGGAATGGTTGGTGAAAATATTGCCTCTCCAACACCTACAGTTGAGTGCATGGGTAACTTAGCAGAAACCCTTCTTCTGTTACATTAATGCATTTTCCCCTTTTATAAATATATGGCATTTCTCAAGCCTGTTGAATTATAAGAGTCACCTGGGTGGAAATTAAAACCATAACAGGGAAGAGCTGGGGAATCTATGTTCAACAAGTGTCCCACGTGATTCTGCGATGAAGTAAGTGTGGGCACCTGTAGTAGGTGATAGGCCAACGCCCTTCTTTAAATGAAAGGGCATGAAATTCACTGGTGTCCACGGTGTTTTAGCTCCTTATCATTTGCTTCTGCGTCCGGAGCGTCTTAGATCACTCCTGACTTTGCAAACATATCTGCTTCTCTGCTAGGAGATTTCCGAAAGGCTCAACAGACACCCCGTTCACCAGTACCCCTGATTTTTACAGAAAATCGGCAGGAGAGAACAAACAACAGGTATCTGGCTTTTCTGCTTACTCTCTGGGTTGATGTAGTGGAAAATGCTCTCATCTGGGCCTCTGATAAATTTTGATAGCTCAGCGGTACAGTCAGTTGCCCAGTCTGCTCGGAGTTAAGGTGCCTATGGCTATGTGCAAAATATTTGTTTATGAGGTTAATGACCTGCTTAAAACCAACTCACTCATACCTGGGAGGACCAGTTCCTTGTGTGCACTATATGATTATAGTGTTTGTTTTAAAGGATTAAAAACTATTAATTCACTCAACAGGTTTAATGCGGCTTCTGTTTGCTCAAGCAGCCTGATCTTTTCTGTTATGGGGCCCTGACCATTTCTTCTTTAATCCCTCAGTTTTTGACTTTCACTTTGCATATTGTTCAGAGTTTCCGACAGTAGGGAGAGAAAGGAAACATGGTCAGGATTACACAGTTTGTGGCAATCATCATTTCTCTTTCTTCCACTCTGATTGTGGTTCACTCTCTGAACCGCAGGACCATCTATGAAGCAGAAAGCTCAAGGTGTTTTGTTTTCTTCTCGTAAATGATTATACCACAAATAGATCCTTGAGACCACGGTGTCCTGAGCTGCGTCTGGCACGTAGTTGACAATCTGGAGATTTTCAGGCTTTAAAAAGTGTTGTCATCCCCCCCCACTCTCCTGCCCTGTCCATTGTTAGAAACTAGTCAAGTGGCATTTTCTTATCAGAAAGTTCTCAACAGAAAACATACCCAGTCTTTACTCCCCTAGGCTCGAGGCCACACTTAAAAAGTCACTTCTGATGATTTCCTAAGAGGTGGGTTCTTCAGCACTGTGAAGCCACTGTTCCATGTCTGAATGCCGTTTTTGAAGATGGGAGCACAGAATTTGTTGTTTTCGTGTGAAACATGAAAGTACGCTGGTCATTGATCTCTGCTCCTGTTAGCCTGACTGATATGTGTGTATTATGGTTCTCTTTGGGAGCGCGTTCATAGAGGAACTGCTGGTTATAATTTTGTCAGGCATCTTATTTAATAAAAGGACACCAAAACCTCCAGTGTTTCCAGAAAGGGAATACTATGACGTTTTCCTATCTGTGTGATCTCCTGCCTCTGCCCACACCCAGTTCCACCACAGTCCCGTCCTACTCTTCAGAAAGGTTAGTAACTAAGAAATACATATTATGCCTGTTAGTGTGACTGTCAAATGTGCATCAAGCAAGTTGTAGGAGCTTTGCTCCGTGTTTCTGCTCCTGCCTTTTAAAAAAAAAAAAAAAAAAAAAAAAAAAAAGATTTTATTTATTTAACAGAGATCACAAGTAGGCAGAGAGGCAGGCAGAGGGTGCGGGGGGGTGGGGGAGCAGGCTCCCCGCTGAGCAGAGAGCCCGATGTGGGACTCGATCCCAGGACCCTGGGATCATGACCTGAGCTGAAGGCAGAGGCTTAAACCCACTGAACCA